TTACCGTCTTCTTTCATAGACATACAAAATATCCCTCTTCCGATGGGAATAAGTTTTGCCGACCCTTCCTTTAACATACCGTCGGCTATAGACATCTTAGTGGGTGCCGAAGTATTTTGGTCCGTCTTATGTAATAATTCCATTGACTTGGGCAAAAATCAGCCTAAGTTGTATGAGACAAAACTGGGTTGGCTGGTGTCCGGGCATGTCGCCCGTCTTAAGACACCGTCTTCGTCTCCCGTTTGTCACTTTATAAGCGAGGATTCCAATCCAGACTTAACTCGTTTTTGGGAGTTAGACACTGTGGCAGCAAAACGCTCTTTGTCTCCTGAGGAGCGTGCCTGCGAGCAGAGCTTTTTAACAAACACCGTACGCAGCGAGAACGGTAGCTTTGTCGTCTCCATGCCGCTAAAGGACGATCCGTCAGTCTTAGGAGAATCCTTTCAAATGGCCAAGTGCCGTTTCTTATCTTAAGAGCGCAAATTTCTTCGGGAGCCTGTTTTTAAGGATATGTACATGGAGTTCATGCACGAATATGAACGCCTAGGTCACATGACTGAAAACAAAGTCTTCATTTGGCGACTTAAAACAGCTCAATTATTTTTTACCTCACCACGGAGTCATCCGTGAGTCCAGCCTTACCACCAAGCTTCGCACAGTCTTCGACGCTTCCGCCGTATCTAGTTCTGGATTGTCGCTTAACGACATTCAAATGGTAGTGCCGACTGTACAAGAAGACCTTTATTCTATTTTATTACGTTTTCGCCAGCATAAATACGTCATTACTGGAGATATACAGAAAATGTACAGAGCGATTGAGCTTAATCCCGCCCAACGCTCACTTCAACAAATCATATTTAGGTATGACTCATTACACCCGTTAAAAACGTACACCTTAAACACGGTGACTTATGGTACGGCGTCTGCCCCATACTTATCCACGAAGTGTTTGGTGAGCTTAGCATCCAGCGCTCTCGATAGCGACGTAAAGCAGTCGATTCAACGCGATTTTTACGTTGATTATTATTTAGGCGGGGCGTCGACTATTGACGACACTATCAAGCTGTGCAAAGGAGTTATTAATACACTTAAAACTGCAAATTTCAATTTACGCAAATTTCAATCAAATAACAAATTAATTTTACATCACGTTTCATCTTCATTACAATCAGATAATGTCTTAGACATAGCAAACAGCGATAGTAATGTTTCTTCTAAAACTTTAGGTCTAAATTGGATTTGCGATTTAGACATTTTGTCATTTTCAATCAATATCGAACTTCGGGACAAAGTGACAAAACGTCACATACTTTCCGTTATAAGTCAGATCTTCGACCCATTGGGTCTCGTGGGCCCCTGTGTCATCGAAGCAAAGCTCATCATGCAGAGGCTATGGATCGTACGATGCTCATGGGACGATGAGGTTTCAACGGAAATAAAACGTTCATGGTTTTCGTTCGCCGACACCTTACCACTTCTTAACCACTTAAAGGTTCCTCGGTGGGTACTTCAAGACCATTCAATATTCCATGAAATTCATGTGTTTTCGGACTCTTCTGAGCGAGCATATGGGGCTTGCGTCTACATTCGCTCTATAGACGCATCAGGCTCTATCAAAGTACAACTTTTGACTTCTAAGAGCAAGGTAGCGCCAATAAAGCCAACAACTATTCCGCGCCTGGAACTTTGCGGATCGTTAGTGGCTGCAAGACTGTGTAACAAAGTATTAACCTCTTTAACACTACATATCAGCAAGTGTAGATTCTGGTGTGACTCAAACTATTGTTTTAGGGTGGTTAAAAACACCACCTACTAACCTTAAAAGTTTCGTAAGGAATCGTGTACATGAAATTCAGGAATGCACAGAGGGTCACACGTGGAGCTACGTACCATCGAAGGACAATCCGGCGGATCTTGTTTCCCGTGGGCTGAAGGCTGACCTCATCAGCGGTTCAGAATTGTGGTGGTCAGGGCCACCTTTCTTAACAGACATTGAAACTAATTGGCCACAAGTGCCCAACGTCGGCGTGAAACAGAATCTACCAGAGTTGATCACCTGTTCCTTCGCGCTTAACAATTCTAATGCAGACTTAATATCTAACTTAATCAAAAACAAATCTAATTTAACAAACTTACAAAACACTATAGCATATTTACAAAGATTTATTTACAACTGTAAGAACCCGAAAATGCAAATGAAAGAACATTTTCCAGTTCAAGAGCTTCAAAATTCCTTAAATTTTATTATTCTTAAATCTCAATCTGAGATGTTTCCTGACGAATATACTCTTCTTAAAGCCGGAAAGGCGCTTCCTAACAAAAATCGACTTATAGCTTTAAGCCCATTTCTCGATGCTAATAACATAATAAGGGTTGGTGGAAGACTCGATAACTCCCCTTACAATTACGACACAAAGCACCCAATTTTGTTATGCAGCAAACATCATTTCACTAAGCTTATGTTTGAACATTTTCATCTAAAATATTTACATGCACCGCCACAACTTCTGTTAGGAAATATTAAGCAAACTTATTGGCCCTTAGGTGGAAAAAACCTAGCTAAAGCTACAGTTAACAAATGTATGCGATGCTTCCGGTACAGGGCGGAAACTGTTCAGCCCATCATGGGCCAGCTCCCCGCCTCGCGTACCGAACTAGAGTTTCCCTTTCTTCATTGCAACGTCGACTACGCCGGGCCAGTGTTGATAGCAGACAGGAAGGGCAGAGGTTGTAAACTTATTAAATCTTTTTTGGCAATCTTTATTTGCAGTTCGGTAAAGGCCTGTCATATTGAGCTCGTTACGGCACTATCCAGCGAAGCATATATTGCCGCTTTAAATCGCTTTGTGTCCCGTCGCGGAAAGCCCAAGAGCATCACGTCAGATAACGGTTCGAATTTTATCGGTGCAAGCAACGAGCTGGCTCAATTTCTTCTTCAATCGGAACTTGAAGGTCAAATGGCTCAAGAAGGCATCGGATTTAAATTTATTCCCGCTTATACCTCTCACTTTAATGGCTTAGCTGAAGCAGCAGTACGCTCTACAAAACACCATCTTAAGCGTTTATTACAAAACACTCATTTAACTTATGAGGAAATTGCTACATGCCTCACTCAAATAGAGGCTGTTTTGAATTCTCGGCCTCTCACCCCTATTTCCACTGATCCCTCAGATTTCTCCGCATTGACTCCTGCCCACTTTTTGATTGGACGCTCACTAATTGCTATCCCTCAACCACAAATAGGTGATGCGAATATAACCCGCCTTGATCGATTCAAGAGAATCGAGCTTATAAAGCAGCACTTTTGGAGCCGATTTTGACTAGAGTATGTCAATCTGCTCCAGCAAAAGGTAAAATGGCGGTCGTCGACCAAGGAGCTGAAATTGGGATCTCTTGTTCTTGTCAAGGAAAGAGCTCTCCCACCATTGATGTGGTCCTTAGGACGAGTCATGCAGCTCTATCCTGGCAGCGACGGCGTTTCTAGAGTCGCCGAGTTGAAGACAAGGAGAGGCACAATTCGAAGAGCCTTTAATAACATCTGTCCCCTTCCAGATTTTTGAAGTTCTCTGCACACTTCAACCCGGGGAGCATGTTGGTCGAGCGGCAGCGCCGCGGCGGGAGGAGGTTGGGACGATACTCCACCGCGGTCGGACGACAACACTAATTTAATTTATAATAATAATTTTATTAAGTAGACCGGGTTATTGTAAAGTACGGATGATTATATCAGCCCTATAAGAATATACAGTCCACTTTCATTTAACCACGTCACCAGGACCCTAACACCCGTATCGATAAAGACGTAGAACAATTAGTAAAGGCCTATAAAGGTTGTACGTTAGTGGGTTTGCCAAACCCACCTGCACCAATGAAGAGACGAGTGTTGCCTGCAGCTCCATGGATAGATGTCACAATGGATCTAATGGGACCATTGCCAAGTAACAAGTATCTGTTAGTAGTGGTCGACTACTATAGTCGATACAAAGAAGTAAAAATTACAAAAACATCACAATCTTACAGATTATTAAAATGGTAAAAGAAGTGTTCAGTAGACTTGGTTATCCTACTTCTATCACCGCAGACAATGGCAAACAGTTGGTTATTGAAGAGTTTCGATTTTTCTTCAAAGAATGTAACATTAAGTTATTTAGTACTGTACCATATTGGCCTCAAATGATCGGCGAAGTTGAAAGACAAAACAGAGATATTTTGAAACGTCTTCGTATCAGCCAGATCGAGAGGAAGGATTTAAAAGAATGTTTGTGGGAGTATCTTCTAATGTATAACAGCACCCCTCCTTACAGTTACCGGGAAGTTACTGTCTGAACTGTTTTTTCAACGAAAAATTAGGGATAAAATTCCATCAGTAGGTGAAATAAATTACAGACAATCATTTAGATGCAGATATCAGGGATAGAGACAAAATACAAAAATAAAAAGGAAAAGAGTATGTAGATAGGAAACGCAGAGCAACTCACTCAGATATAATACAGGGAGATAAGGTTTACGTAAAAGCAGTGGAAAAATCGAATAATCTTACAACAAATTTTAAACCGACGCCACACGTCGTAGAGAGTGCACGAGACGGTGACTGCACAGTACGCAATAGTGAAACGAACCAAAGGTTTAGGAGAAATGTAATACATTTGAAGACAGTAGGAGGCGATTGGACGGCTATTCCACCCGATCAGAATGAAAAAGAACAAAATCTAGTACAGGATAAAGAAGACGAAAATATGTAATAATTAATACAGACAATACAAGATGCTTTGTGATTGTTATGAGTTATAATAAAAAAAAGAAAAATCTTGATAAGAAAGAGATGTAGTGTTTGCATATATATATATATAAGTCACTGTCTCGAGTGCACCGCGTCAGTTACACGAGAGCCTCGGGCGAGAGTGGACGTGTTTAGGTAAGTGCTTGCCGAGCCTGTGTTACAATACAGTGATTAGAGAAGATAGCAGAAAATACACCAATCAAAGCCATTTAATTCAGCCCTATTTGGTTTGATTTAAAACTGGTAGTTCATTGACCTTTACAGATTTTATAAGAATAGATAAAGCTTTGTGATGAGCATTTTCCGAAATAAGCGGGTCGCAAGCTATTACACAGGTGTCAAAATTGCTCAATACAAGATCTAAAATCACATTATTTATATTATATACACAATTGTACTGTCGTAATCCTAAATAATTGAGGGTATTAATAAATAAATCATAAAGATCACTTATATAGCTAGTCGCCGTCATCTCCGCATTATCCGGGCTTGTTTCCATTTAATAGCGGGTACATTAAAATCGCCAGTAATAAAAAAATTGTCATTGGGATGAGATAACATAATGTCCATATGTTTGTCACAAAAATTACGTAGTTGCAAGTCAAATGAGTTACCTCTATTTTATTTACATAAGTAGACAATACATACGTGTATACGACATCGGTTAATACTTATGCTCACCCAAATGTCCTCAGCAGAAGATTGCCATTCGGGTACCTCAACAGAAGTAAACTCACGTTTGATCGCTATTAAGACTCCACCGCCCAATTTTTGTCCTCTTCGTAAATAATTACGATCCCGCCTCCAAACAATGTACCTGTCATCAAACAGCTCAGAACTATATATAATTATTTAATAGTATATTTCTACAAAAACTATCAGTTTTCGACCGAAGGCCTCTTACATTCTGATAGTACACGTTAATTATGTTAGCTGCGCCGGAGGTTCGAAAAAAAAAACAAATTTACTTATAAAATATATTTAAAATGAAAATTACAAATTATGTTACTATAGCTAATTAATCTAACTGAATGAGCCTCGTGTAACTGAGTACGTGATATTTTATACATCCGGCACGTGACTTGAATTACTGCGCCTGCATCCCTGTCGGTTTACATAGCAACTGTTCTAGGTACATAGTCAGCGATCGTCATAACATAGGTATATGTAACTCCTCCACCCTCAGAACGGCAACTATTTGAGTATGCAGGGAAAATGTTGCCAGAATTTCGGGGTTTCCATGATCTTCTGAATTAGATGTTGGTGATTGCGCTGCTTTGCTCGTCTCCTTTTTGCATCTTCATATGTAGCGACGGGTGACCAGTACAAAGATAAGGATACCTCCACTCGATAATATGATATAAAAGGGAATTGTCGTATGGTATAGTGTGTCACTTATGGCACGTAGTTGTACTGGTGATTGCATGAGAATTTTGTCTTGGATGCTGTGTAATCCTTGGAGATAGATTGAGTTTAGGTGGATGCGGGTAGATGCTGTAGCTTGTTCCGGAGATCTAAAAGGTAGTCCAATGAGCTTTAGAGGTTGACCTTTTATCTCATTATTGTCGTTGACGATGGTGAACTCGTCAGTTTTAAGAAGACAGCTGGCTGGAATCGTAATGAGATAACTCCCTTGTAGCATGGTGAATTATTTTCTTCCGCAAGACAATTGTACCTTGGTATAGTGTGGAAAGGACAGGATATAATGCTGGTCATCTAGTTTTTCCATCGCTTCTTTTGACAGGATGATAGTAGTAAGATTGCAGGCTTCTTGTATGACTTGCTTGGTGATCAATTCTTGGATGCAATCGGGTTGTGTTCGAATCTGATAGGTAGTGCGTTCTTCACAGAGATACCAGTGGTTAAACTTCGGACATTCTGTCTCTATGTACGCGAATGATAACTCGTTAGTTGCCATGAAGGGATAGGTTGGGATAAGGGCCTGTGAGTTTTTATTTGGGACAATGTATAATCTATATAAATCAAAATTATCTCTAGAAGTTATAGGAAATTTAAAGATGAACACGATTTGTTTCTCCGTGTAATATGAGCCGGGTTTTATTAAGTCATAATAGTCTCTGAGTTCTAAATTTAATATTTGATCTGAGCTGTAAATACTTCCAAGCTTACTTAACATGGAACCTAATACATCTATATCTATCATAGAATGATGCGTGCTAGATGCACGAATAAAAGCTAAAGTGTTTTCTATTCTAATTAATTCTAGCATTAAGTCCTCTACATTATCACTAATTATTTCTAACAATTGCGCAAATTTAGCGTATTTAATTAAACTAGTTTGCCTATATGCATTACTATTTAATATAAGTATTAAAGTCTCATTAATTTTTCTTGAATTTTCCGCTATCTCAATAATTGCATTACTATGCTTAGACATCCATTCTTCACTTAAGCTGAGACGTTGGTCGAATTCGGATGCAACGCTCAGTTGATTATCCTTAAGGGTTTTAATTGCCTCGTTATATCTTAACGCGTCTGTATAATCTGAGTTACCCGTTATGCTTTTTATGATTGAATCAACACTATCTATAAGACCTCTTTTAGCTCTATTGGGCTTTAGGGTTCTGAGATGACTTAACACCTTGCCAAGTTTGTTAGACAGATAATCTATTTGGATTTCGTATAGTAAATAAGTATCGTTAGTCAGTCGGTTTTGGAAAGTCAGTAGTTGATTCTGTAGGGAGTGGATATTATCTTCAATGTCATCGAGTCGTACGTACTGTAAAAATGTATGGTAATGAGTAGTCAATTTCGTGGGTCCTAGTTTATACGGTAGTAGTCCTGGTCCGTCTGATAGATTTATCAAGTTTTATCTCTGTCATCTGAGTCCTTTGAAGGAGCATTATTAGCAGTATCCTGCAACAAATTAACTGCTTTAGGAACACGCTTGAGCCGTGATTTTGCTACTGGACCACGTTTTTCAGATGTATATATATGAATGGGTAAATCGGCTAATACAGTGAGTGAGTATAACGTAGTGCGGTTTTCTGGCGGGCGGCAGATGGATTTTTAATAAAAACTTGCTGCTGCGGCGCGTATTCTATTTCCGGTTCGCGGTCCTTATTCCTACTCTCTATAATGGCTGTGCGATTGGCTAGTGACGTGCTATTAATAATTTCGTACACCTTTTTCATTTGATCTCTATGCATCTGTACATACTGCTGTAGTAGTTCTGGGTCATGTCGATGTCAAGACAGTCTCTATGGACAAAGTGTCCCGTTAATAAGTCAAATGGTCGACATCTAGTAAAACTGTGTATTGAGCTATTGTAGGGTATTATTGCGTAAGGCATGAGATTGATGACCGGTTCGTCCTTATGTTGTAATTTTAAAATTCTGATATGTTCCAAAAGGGTCGAATGGAACCTTTCAATATTACCGTTATCGTTAGGTGAATGGGCTAAAATATGATGGTGATTTATCTTATGGAGTCTAGTAAATTCTAAAAATAATTGGTTAGTGAACTCTGTTCCGTTATCAGTAATTATTGTTAGGGGAACACCGTGATGGGTACAATATTGTAGTAGGGCCTGTAATATACTAATAGCGGTTCCGTTGCGTAAATGGTAAGCTTGTCCGTATTTTGTAAATACGTCTATAAAAGTTACATATTTTTCACTTTGAACTGTAAAGAGGTCCATGTGAATTATCTCAAAGGGTTTTGTTGCAGGTGGTACTACATTAAATTGAGGTTTCACTGGGTTTCTATTATATTTGGCCTGTCCGCAGATGGTACACTCGTTAATAAATTTTGTGATATGGTCTTTCATTTTTAGCCAATAGTATTTGCGAGATAATGCTAAGTAACACTCGTTAATACCACGGTGGTTGGTTTTACCGTCGTGATAGTGACGAATAATTTCTTGTTGTCGCAAATATTCCTTAACATTCTCTAACTCGAATTTAGTTAGAACAAGGTTAAGTGAAGAGCTTTTAAATTTATCCTGTAAGATTGGTATTACTTTATATAATGCTAAAGGTGGGTTTATTAAGAGAGCTGTTTTGATTTTTGGATAGACATACTCTTTTACAGCGTTTATGACGTCTTCTTCGAGACTATTTTCCGATAGTTGAATGCTAACACGTGTATGGGTATCGAAGGGTTTAGTCACAATGGTTTTTCCTTTAACGTCCCTAACAACAGTCAAGTGAATTTGTCTATTAAACTTATTGAGTGGTTCGTCAGTTATAGGAATTTCAAGTATAGGATGTTCGTTACTGGTGTGTACGGTCTCAGTCGAAGAGTTCGCAATACCTTCGCTTGGGTTGCCTATTAACGAGTTTAGTTCGCCAATTTCGTTCATTAACATTTTTATGTCTTCATTGTGAATCTCTATACGTGAGAGAGCATCGGCATTGGTGTTAATTTTGCCTTTCTTATAAATTACTGTAAAGTCATACTCGCTAAGTCTAAGTCGCCATCTTGTGAGATGAGAATTTGGTTCTTTCAAATTCATCATCCACTGCAATGGTTTGTGGTCTGTCAAAATTTTAAATTTACGTCCAAACAAATATGGTCTAAAGTATTTCGTAGCCCAGACTATGGCGAGAAGTTCTTTTTCGATTGTACTGTAATTAATTTCGCTTTCGTTTAACGTACGAGAAGCATAACAGACTGGTTTGTCGGATCCTATTGGACCTTGTGACAGTACGGCACCAATGGCAAAGTTAGAAGCATCTGTCGTTAGGTTAAACTCTTTAGTAAAGTCTGGATATTGCAAGATGGGATCGTTTGTCAAAAGAGACTTACATTTTTCGAAAGCGTTAGCGTAATTATTGTCTATTGTTACCTTTTTGCCTTTCTTAAGACACTGAGTTAATGGTTTAGTAATACGGGCGAAATCCGGAATGAACTTTCTGTTATAACAGAGAACGCCTAAAAATTGTTTAATTTCTTTTGGATTCTTTGGAATAGGGTATTTTTGAACAGCCGAAATTTTATCTGGGTTTGGTTTAATACCGTCCCTGGTGATAATATGACCGAGGTAAGCCGTTTCATGTTTGAGAAACTCCGATTTGTCCGGTTGAACTTTTAAGTTGGACTCGCGAAATCTACTAAATACTTTGTCTAGGTTAACCATATGTTCTTGGAGAGAAGTGCTGAACACAATTATGTCATCTAGGTATACAAGGCATATATGATTTTGTAGCCCCCTTAAGACATTGTCCATAACTCTTTGGAACGTAGATGGACTGTTCTTCAGGCCCATTGGCATGCGAAGGAATTCGAAATGGCCATGCTCTACATTAAAAACGGTTTTCGCTATGTCCTGAGGGTCCATTTCGACCTGATAAAATCCGCTTGCTAAGTCTAAGGTGGTAAAATATTGACATTTCCCTAATTTGTCAAGAACATCACTAATGTTCGGGATAGGATATTTATCGTCAAGTGTCTTTTCGTTTAATTTGCGAAAGTCAACTATAAGATGCCACTTCTGTTTGCCAGAAGCATCTACTTTCTTTGGAACAACCCAGATGCGTGACCTCCATGCAGATTCGGAAGGTCTTACAATACCCTGATCTAACATTTTGCTTATTTGGTCCTTAACTTCTTGTCTATGTATGAATGGATAACGATAGCTTTTAGTGTGTATTGGTACTTCGTCCGTGGTTCGAATCCGATGTTTTATTCTATTTGTGAAAGTGAGGCTTTCACCTTTTATGTAAATTACGTCCGAGTAACGAGAGCAAAGTGCTACTAAATTAGCCTTTTCCTCCTCGTTTAGGTGGTCGGTACGTAATCGCGAAACTACGTCTTTTGCGCGTGCTGATAATTGTTCGGTACGCGTGCACTCAATATTAAATAATTCCGCGCGGGCTGGTCGGTCGAGTGAAAATATTATATCGTTTGGCGTTAGGTTCTCTACCTCAATATAACCGCGATTATTGACAATTACATAGAACCTGCTCCGTAATATAGGCTTCGCCATTCTTTGTATCCAATGGAACTCTAATAATTTTCGAAGAGCTGGCAGGTATTATATCTTCGTATAAATTAACATTACGCGAGTTATGCAATAAGCAATAAGTCCAAACCTATAAGGCCGTCAAAATAGTCATGAAAGCGATATACAAAGAATTTCACTTTATCGGAATCATTAAATTCAGAAAAACAAGGTATTGAATAATTATTACGACTTGTCGTTTGTTACTTCGAACGGGTCAAAATTAAGTGGGAAATCGCTGAAAAATTTTCCTACAGCTTCAGGGCTAATAAAAGACTGATTCGCGCCAGTATCTATTAAAAATTTTAATGGGGGGTTTGCTATCTGTATATATGGTAATTGTCTTTGAGTCTGAAGATTTAATTCTATTTTGGATTTTTTTATAGTCGAATCGTCCTGAAAATCCCGATTGGAGTGCTTAGACTCTACTTGTGATTGATTTTGAACATAATTTTTTTTATAGGATAAGGGTGACAAACGAGCACACAGTCCACCTGATGGTAAGTGGTTGTTGCGGCCCATAGACATCTACATCTATCCTCGTTTGCGAATCAAAATGCAGATACGTTGTCACCCATGAGTACTAAGATGGAATGCCTCATTTCCAGTAAAAAGGGCCTCCGGCTACCTGCACACACCAAACGAAACGCAGAGGTAAACCTCTACTTCACGCTGGTATTCTGTGAGGTCGTGGTACCACCCCGGTTCGAGCCGCCCCATCCGTGCGACAGCAAAAGCTGCCGCGTGGCTCTACCACTGTTTTGATCTTGGTTTTATTTTTTTTATCTTGTTTTACTATCTTGGTTTTCGTCAGTCGAGTCATAATAAGAAAAATCAGAAGCGAAATCCGGGGCATAAGCGTTGTTAAAGTCGGTATAGTCGGTGTAGTATGCGTACTCGTATTCAGGGTTATACTCGTAATATGAATCGTTATACGCAGCGCATTCGTTTGTATTCATTTCGCGGGATTTAAAATAGTTTGTTGGTGGCGGATTGCCAAATTTATTCCAGTCATGTCCTGTCAACATTTTTGTGTGTGGTAAAGCCTTGGGAAAACGCTGGACTCCACTCATGGGCTGAGGTTGTTGAGGGTTATTTCGGGGTGGTAATCGGAACACGTTACTACGCTGGTTGTAGTAAGGAGGGGGTGCACCGAACATGCGCTGGGTATTAGTTGGCATGCGCTGTTGGTGTGGTACGGGTTGAGGAAATTTGAACGACTGAGGTGGGGGTCTGTAAGGTCTTTGCCCAACAGGAACTGGCCAATTAGGTACTGGAGTTTGGAAAGGTTGATGTTGAGGAATGGAAGGTGGTGTGGATGGTTGGATGAACTTGGGAGAATGTTGACTTTTTATGGAGTCATTGCGCTGTTGGAGATACATAATGTTTAATTCCTCTTGTACATATTCTAAGGCTCTCTCTATTGTCGATGGTTGCATGCAACGTATACGAGATCCTAAAGGTTCCTTTAAGCCGCGGACATATGCTTGCATTGCGACTTTCCTATAAAGGTCCTGTTTGGCATCGATGGTGGTCGGTATGGTCTCATGTAAAGACACGTAAGTCATTATCGTGCTAAACAAAGTTTGGCAATGGTCGTAAAATTCTTGTGGAGAGAATATGACAGCGAGCCTGTCGAGATTCAGGCTCCCGAGAACGAGTTACTCTAGGATGATAAATATTGAAGGGAAAGATTTAAACTTAGGGATAAGGGAGAGCAACACGAGATCAATTCAAGTGTACTCACGTGGATTTCATCTGGTTTCTCTCGATGAATCGAAGGCTGGATTCTCCTCCTGGTCTGCAGCTGGTCCGTAGATCCGGATACTCTTCGAAGGAACTTGATAGCCGTCGGAGTGCTTCACGGTTATGAAAAGATATTCCCTAACTATCGCAAAACCACCCCTGAGTATCCTACCGACTGCGCCAATTACGTTAGCTGCGGCCGGAGGTTCGAAAAAAACCAAATTTACTTATAAAATATATGTAAAATGAAAATTACAAATTATGTTACTATAGCTAATTAATCTAACCGAATGAGCCTCGTGTAACTGAGTACGTGATATTTTATACATCCGGCACGTGGCTTGAATTACTGCGCCTGCATTCCTGTCGGTTTATACATAGCAACTGTTCTAGGTACATAGTCAGCGATCGTCATATCATAGGTATATGTAACTCGTTTTTAATATATTATTGACAATAACAAAAACAATATTTTCCTAAATATTTAACTATAGTAAAATATGTAAAATGTCGAGGCGGTACGTTGAAACATAAATAAGTCATAAGTATACTTGTAATTAAGTATGTAAGTATTCGACAACAGCATAGTATATCTTCAATTAATTTCTGTAAGGTATACAGTGTGTCAGCAGTGTATATAGATATGTACAATTAAAAAAATATAAAAATAATATTAATATAAACCAGTTTATAGGGCGCAGTTTACCCCTTCGGAACAGTAGTATGACTATTTCGACATAACATAGATTTATAAATAAGCGATTAATTAGTATTAACCGTAAAATTACATTTAAGTTATTTGTGTGATCCAAAATAGGGTATAGCAAAATTTTCAATAGAAAAAATATTCTCTGTTTGTACATAACAAACAAGAAGTAAACTATGTAACGATACATCAACTTTATAGTATTGCTTGTTCGGGTAAAAATTTTTAAGCATAGGGCTAATTTACCTGCTTTGAGTTTGAGGTCATACGGACAATAGAAAAATTTAATCATACGGACCCAACCAGTGGTTTCAAAACATTTTATAGTTTTAATAGATTTTGTTGCAACTTTTTCAAATACATGACATGAACTTATATCATTTTTTGAAGGTCCCTTTCTGTCTTTATTGATAGGATGGGAGATGTGGTATTTTTCATTACAAAGATTTTAGAGTTCTTCACCCATACGAACTGGAATTTTTTTTCTTGGGCAACAGTCTTAGTCTAATTAAGTAAAGTTTTGTTGTAGGCAGTTAGGTGATCGTTCAAAAAGATACGGTTGTTGCCTTGTAGACCTATAGCAATGGTGGTGAGCGGAGACATGGACGAATGTTTTCTGGCAGCAGTGACGAAGTCCTCCTTTACAAAACGATTGTTGAAACATACAATTATAGGCTTAGTGCTGTTTGGATCTCGATTAGGCATCTTAGTGACGTAGTTAATTTGGCTTTTAGAGATAGTGAAATCAACTTTAGAGCCAATGGAAATAACAATATCCAAAAGGTTTTCGCCTTTCTTTATGGGCACTCCTTTTATTTCCGCATTATTTAATCGAGCCCATTCGTCTTTAAACTGTATTTGAGTCTCAAGTTTCTCAACTTTCTGGCATAGACAAACAACTTTCTCCTTATCACTTTCGACTTCTTTAACACGTGATTCAAGGTGCACAATTTTTTTCGAGAGTTCTTGGATGACGTTGTTCGTTTGGACGTTAGATTTTTGGAGCTGAGTGAGATTATCCTTCAGGTACTTAATGTCCTCAACAATAGAATCAAGAGAATTTAGTTTATTTGCAATATCCTTTATTTCCTTCATCAATTGTATTGAAGTTATCTCTTGGTGTTCAAGATCGGTTGGGGCCGAAGGTTTAGTAGTAGATGGCTGCGAGGGAGATTTACCTTGTTCTTATTTACACTTTGAACACCGCCAGGTCATTTTTCGATCACCTAATTTACGGTATCCCGGTTCACTGATACCTGCGCAATGGAAGTGAAGACAAATCTTACAAAGACTGCAATCCGCTCCATCTGTAACTTGTTCCTTGCATTTACTGCAGGTCGGCATAGTAAGCCAATTCACGTAGTTTGAGAATCACTAACAACAAAACGTAATTTCAATCAGTATGCACTTTCACTACTATTGTATACGTTACGCAAAGTTCAACTTTGCGAGCGTCGAGTATACGGTAGTTTTTTATTTAGAAAAATTTAGGAGATGATTTTAAATTGATGAAAATGAGATAAGCATGGATGAAATAGTGAAAGCGTCGAAAAGTATGAGATTAGGTAAGGCTGCAGGGTATGACAGGATTACCGTCGAGATGCTGAGGGCTGGACAGGGCCAGGTGGCTAGTCAGCTGTACCGCCTTTTCAATCTGTGCTGGCGAAATGGGCAAGTACCGGGAGACAGGTGCAAAGCCGTAATCGTGCCATTGTATAAGGGAAAAGGGTCACGGCAGGACTGCATAAATTACCGCGGTATAAGCCTTCTCAGCGTCGTCGGTAAATTGTATGCGAAAGTATTGATTGAAAGGATTGTGAATGAAACAGACAAGAAAGTATGGGATGCACAAGCGGGATTTAGAAAGGGAATGGGATGTACGGATCAGGTCTTTTCTTTGCGGTGCATAGCCGAAAAGTATTTGGCTAAAAACAAGAAAGTCTACTGCGCGTTGGTAGATCTAGAAAAGGCCTATGATAGAGTGGTGAGGAATGAATTGTGGTCAGCACTGTCCGTGAACGGTGTGAGCAGTATCCTCATACGAGCAATGCAATTTCTTTATAGGGATTCTAGTGCTTGTGTAAGGATAAACGGGGCATACACTGAATGGTTTAATATCGAAAAAGGTGTT